CCCGAGTCCCCGGCTGGTAGTGGTTAAAAGAGGATGCATATTTATACTATCTGAGTTTTTTGTCCTCACGTTTCCTTTAATAATAAATAGAACTTGATTTCTTTTCAAATGAAATAATTATATAGATAATCGCCAATCAATCAATCAGTTTCAAGCACACTGACCCGACAAACCACTGAACATCATATGATTATTATGCAACTTGAAACTTTCAAATAAAAAAATACTTTCTGAGGTAGACGAAACCCACAAGCCTCGTATCAAACAGTTGAAATTAGTGAAATTTTCTTCTGGAATTACTGGAATTTTGCCAATTACCTCAGGGGGGTATTTGTTGAGATGCGGATCACTGTATGAGGGTCGCATTCCTCCACGGGGCGGGTAGTAGTCGAAATCATCGTCATATCGTCTGTCAAGACAATCCAAGTTTAAAAGGAGGCTCAATTGAAAAAGTAAAGTGAACGGCAAAGAAATTCTTTCGTTTCATGTGGACTTGGACAAAAAACCTTTTATACAGCAGAAGCTCTGTGCTTGCAAAAGAAGCAAGTACTGACGGTGATTTATTGAGACGAAATTATGATACACAGGCTCTTCATGAAAATATTGGAGAGAAACAAATCCTTTAAATTGCGGCAAAAAGTCGCAATGACACTACACCAAAACTCCTGATATGAATGATCCCTTATTCTAACTTTTGTGTGAAGTAGGTTTCTTGGCTTGTGCCACAAGACAAGAACTTTAAAACACATTTTAATAATAAAAATTTTCAAAAATCTTTTTCACAAGGCCTGCACATGGAACTTTTGGAGAACGGGAGGCAATTCTGAGCAGCACAAGACCTTGATTGGGTTTTAACCCTGCGAAGCACCATCCCCATTTATAAAAATGCGCACACCAACAGGTCCGTACGGTGACCCAAATGTATTGCGGTGAGCTAAGCCCCGCCCAAAATAGAATATAATCAGATTTCCAGTATCAATGCAGGGACCCTTTCACACCTGATTGGTCCTCGACAGGAAACAGATGTTGATTACACGGACCTTTGTCAAGCCATCATCAAGCCCTGCACTGTTTACCCTCAAGTGACTTTCTTTTGTGCATGGATATAATTATGGGCCGCTGGCCTCCAGCCAAGACTGTCAGGCTCTGATCAGCTTGACCCACGGTCACACACTGAAGGTGACTGCACACATCGATAGTGCAGGTTTCAGGCTAGGATTACACGTAGTATTGCCAAAATTGGCCTTATTTTTTTTTTAAATAAGATAATTATGAAAATGGGGTCCCCAGAAGGACCCCTTAGTGATTCGCAGGGTTTTAAGAGAAGCAAAACACTAGGCAATTGACTGACATGACCAAGACAATCATATCTGCAACACACACCTATATCGAGCTTCTTCTTCACGTTTTCTCCTCAGGATTTCATCGTATTCGGGCTGGGGAGTTCCCCAACCCCTCCTGGGTCCGGGAGGGGGTCCGGGAGGGGGTCTGTCGTCGTACTCTCTCAGTATGGGCCGTGGGGTCTGCGAGGCTGCCTCCCGCCGCAACTGCAGGTCGGCTGCCCTGTCCTGGGGTGGGGCTACCGGTCTGGGGTCAGGAGGAGGACGGCTGTCCTGATTGGAGGTTTTAGTCACAGCAACCGCATCACCAGTGATGGGGTTGATTGGGCCTGGTCTCTGTGTCTATGAGAAACAAAATCAAGAATGTCTCACTTTGCTGTTGGCTCTAATACTGATTGACTTTAACACATGACCCACCTTTTATCAAAATGAGTCACAAGTCTCCAGAGCCAAGTTTGAATTTAGAGGCCTTTAGAAGAATTATGTAAATCAATGGGAAGCCTCAACATGTTGACCAACATGAAACCCATAATCATCAGGATGCTAAACTGAATGATACATCAAAACAGAGACTTCAATTTGTTCTTTCTAATGCAAACTAAGTTACTGAAAATTGGTCTCAAGACCCATTTTGTGGGATTAACTCACATGCATGAATGGCACATGCTAATGTCAATGATAGGGCGCGAGCAGTCAGACGGCCAACAGAGATTAAATTCGAGGTTCTGAGAATGAACAGACACTGGTTTCCTACTTACAATTGCTGGCGACAATTCTTCATTTCCCACTCGCGGCTTGCGGGTACTCGTGCCGCCTTTAACCTTCAGGAAGTCGTTGTACTCCTTGTTCCGAGCCATTCTCGCTCGGTCCTACGGAACAGGAAACGAACTGAGTTGGAAGAGAGGCTCGCAAACCGGAAAGGTAGGACCACCTTCAAATCTTGCACTTAAAGCTAGAATCCAGATCCTCTCCAGTTTTACGCATACATTGTACATGCCGACAATAGGCGTAGCCATAGCTTTGGAAGCCTGTTCATCAAAGAGACTGGTACCTTTTATGGAGCAACAGTAAGAGCTGGGCCTTGAATGGCAAAAATGACTATGCTCTGCACATGCACCAGGCCAGGGAACACCCTAGCATGTTCTGACACTAAACTAGTTGCTGATATGGCAATGCTACACTGACTTGACTAGTCTAACTCTCAGGTGGGTAATTCCAGAAATTACGGATCCAAAAGTGTGACATTTTTGTGTCCCTGTTACATATACATGTGACCTTTACTATTTGACATGAAAATATCACCGGAATTGATTTCAAACTGTTACTATTTGTTGGCAGTTAATTTACATGAATTCAGCACTTTTGGACATCAGAAAATGTGTCCTGAACTTACAAAATCAAAGGTCAGATGTAACAGGGACACGAAAAAAAAATGGACCCCTCATTTCTGGAATTCCCCAGATATGAAAAAGCATAAAGCACAGTATAGGAACATACACAATTGTGGGTCTCTCAAAGGCAATGACAAGCATGCTTGGCAATTTCTGTCTCTACCCAATTTGTCAGTGATACTGTATTGTACATGAGCTCACGTCTCTGACTTTTACATCTACGTGTAGCAAGCACCAGCAAGAGGTACACTGGAACAAGGTCCTCGGGATTTTACAAAGTCTCGTTATAACAGGTACCTTGTATTATCAGTGATGGAAAACAAAGCAAAACGAGGACTTACATGTAGGACCTAAACCTGTTTTTACTTGTTTTAACATGACATTTTTTTCCCCAGAGTTCTTCTTATCAGTGTCCGATCGTACATGCTACTTGTAGTACTTCCAATTCAGACACTTAAAACCTCTCTTGGAGAAAAAAACTGGTCCTATGACGACAGCTCTCAAATAAGGAGTGATTAAGATTTGAGAAAAGACAGCTGCTAACCTTAGCAGAGTCTCTGCTTGGGATGGGTAAGGAGGCTCCATCATCGGGGATCGTTGGCTGAGCTCTGGGGGCGGAACGTTTCTCCTTCTGCCAACGAGAAACAGTTACAAATGTGCAATTAATATTAACTGAAAATGAGATGAGCGAGTCACTTCCAACCAGTAAGCACGTTTGGCACCTGAGCACGGCAAGCTCACATGAAGCAAGTCGTGGGCTTATTCCAGAACATCAATACGCAAGCGTGAGGCTGGACTTATCAACTCACATGCACTGAACCTGTTCAAACTGGAGTGGCATGTCCTTAATATGGCAGTGTACCAACCAAAACAGGCCAGTGTTAGTGACATCTTTGGTTTGCTCACGGGGCTATTCCCAAGGGCAGAACCTAACGTATCCCCAATTTGGTGTGCAACATTGCAAGTGTTCCAATGTTGATTTAACTTTACTTTAACCCTAACCTTCCACAATCCTCCAAAATCCTCTTCGTGGTTTGGGAGAATTTTAGAGGATTGAGGAAGAATGGCAAGGAAAGTGTGGCTGAGAAGGAAGCATTGTGTTCAGGTCTTGGGCTGCACCTTGAGTAGCCAAGCCACTGCATCATTTCATGCGTAAATTATTATTCATGCATGTGAAATCCTCCATACTGCTCCAGGGTACCATTCACGCTGCATCACCATACTAGCAAAACAGCTGAGCCAGGAGCACATTTACATGTATGCACCAGGCCGGATCTTCATAGAAGAACCCTTTCTGGTGTTTGAAACTTCTGCAAAGTTCCAAATTAAATATGAAACCCACAACATCTCCGTGCAGTGAGAGTGAACACCAAGGTGCAACACAGCATACACTAAAACAAATGTGCCGAAATTAGAACCGCTAAATCCCCCATAATCCAGCCGTACCCAATGAACTCAATTGCTTCCTAACACACGAGAAATGTCGACGAGAAACGTGTCAGTGTTCTGTATGCAAGATTACACAAATGCCGTGTTCGTTGATTTTGTGGAATTTCAACACCGCAGCCCCATCAGGGATTTTCTGTGATGTCACAAGATAGTGTCCAATTACATTCTGAATATTTCTGTATACATGTACATGTGCTGCCATGTGACGTCTATACCCACGACTCATCCGACAGATTGAGTGACTGCAAATGAGTTTTTACACACACGGAATCTTTAACTACATGTAGTCTGTGTGATTGCATCTGTGTGAAGTCCCAAAGTGTCCATGGGCCACAGACAGGTGTTACCAAATACCATTCCACAACACAGTCTCAGAGTTTTAAAAACGGTGATATGATTCAGTAAGTACAGTTGCACAAATCTCAACAAATGACCACCACGGGTCAGCATCTGCCAAGAACTGAGGTTGTGACATCTCGGCCTTTTAAAAAGTCCATATTTTCAGCCCCAAAACAAACTGAATCCGGGACAAGTCCGATGTGGAAAAACACCATCAGCAAGTGGTTGAGAAGTTGCTAGGTCTGGGCTTCAAATCCCGAACAATTGGAACACAAGTTCTTTGAGGAACAGTTTGCTGTGAATATTGCTTGTTCAAAGTACAACTATTTCTAAGAACGCAACACAAACACTGAAAACAATACTCACAAGCAGACAAGTGGCCAGTCCCGAGACACAATTCAAATGAAATATATGGGGAAAATGTAATCAGTTTTTACATTCAATGCTGTGGAATAAAATCACAATTTCTTTATAGTTGTAAGCACACATGTTCTTCAGCACATACATGTGCATGTACACGTACATATCAAAACTAATGAAAACGCTTGTGGAACAATAGGAAACAAATTCCACACTGACATCTGCTAACAATCAAAATTCACATTTTATATAAATGACAAAAATGGTGGAAAATGGTTGTGAAATTATTGGAAACAAATTCCACACAGACCTC